CAGGTCGGGGGCCAATTCGCGACCGCCATCTCCAGTCACCTCAGGACAATAGCGAGTCGACCGTGCCAGCGATGTGTGACACTAATGTCTTTCTTTAGAATAACGGTCTGTCCCAGTCCATGTAGAGGGTAACTCACTAACATCAGCCGTGGCCTCAGTTATAACATCCAACAACTTCGGCCATTTAGTTGGGTTTTTTTATTTGATTCAGCAAAGATTATTTAAGTTTACAAACTAATTCAGGCAACAATGGCGTTGCTGAAGCGCGGAGCCCCTTCAAGCGCGGGGCCTGGGGCGACCGCCCCGTTTGCCACCCCCTAACGCCGGCTCTGATTATAAATACGTATAACAATTCTTAAACATTCCACTGTGATCAGGAATGAGATTTTAATGTCTATGATCGAATTTTTAAATGTCATTATTTGCTCATTATGATGTTGTTAATTTGTTGTAAAACAAATTGTAGATTTGGGTCAGTAACTTGGCCATTCTAAGTATAGAACATACAGAAGCAGCTAAAATGGGTCTCAATGAACTTATACATCATTTTGCAAATCATTTTGCCCCAGCCTTGTGACGCTGCTGTGTTGGGTCACTTAAAAAACAAACAAATTAACTGTAAGCCTGTAAAAAAACTTTACAAAACTAAGGGGTAGTAGGTCAATATAATAATATAGTATACATAAACAATCAGAACGTATAAAATACAAAATGTACAGAATATTATATTATTTAAAACCCTACATCGTAAGTAGCAGTTGATTTCTTCGTTTCACTCCGTTGTAGCCTAACGGCTGACTGATAATTTTTGCATAGGGACCCACAAAACCTTGGCTACGCCACTGTCTGTTTCTATATATGTTTGCCTTATTAATGATTTCTTTTGTCAAGTCGGTCAAAAGAATATGAAGCATGAAAGCTTTGTATCTGTAATGGTTTCTCGCGTTATGTTTATTTTTAAACATAACTAAAAAAAAATATTATGGTCGGCTATGGGTCCCTAAATGGCGTGCCCCCCCCCCCGCACTGCGGGGTCTGGCGGCACTGTAGTTCCGCCCCTGGATACAATACACAATAGAAAACGTCTCGTTGACTATAACTACACGTGGTTACAAATAACAAGACAAACTTTTGTAGATTTATGTTTTAGAATCACACAAGTGCCATGATCTGTTCCTCCGATAGGTTATATTTCCATAAATGCTCCAAAATATTACTTTTATGGTAGTAGGACTAGCTTCTCTTTAAGTATCCCCTTCATAATATTCGACTTGGTCTATCTCACTCAACATACATGCAACATAAAAATAGTGTTTCTTCCAGACTTTTTTCTCGGGGGGGGGGGACGTTCAACATTTTTCGGAAGGGGGGGGGGCGGCGGACACTGGTAAAAGTATATGTTTTTTAAATAAATTCTATTTCGTTCGGGGGTGGGGAGGGCAAAAGATGCCTGGAAGAAACTCTGCATAAAAACATTTCTTACTTTTTGTGTCGAGCTCTATCAACACTTGCCCCACTTGCTTTGGCTTTAGTTGCTTTCCCGTGGCAGAAGGAATTTTATGTTTTTCAGCAACTGCCATCTGGTATTGTTGGCTTCTTACAGTTTCAGTGTTTAAACTGTAAAATATGGTAGAGTAATTCTTGGTTTTGTACACGCTTAGGGACAAAGAAATGCAGATATTGATAATCCACGACTGTCGGTCAAAAGCCTCAAACTTTCTCCTTTCATACTCTCCCAACAAAATTAAGATAACTCTTTGGTCTGCGTGAGACGTTGCTGTTTTCTAAATGTACTTGCGACCATGAGGTAAAACAATCTTTCGAGTAATGTACTTAAAAAAAAACCAACAAAAAATGGTAGATGTGAAGCTTATTTAATTATAAGCTGTTATCACCTCATACCCAGGCATTGTTTCCTTAAACCGACGCTCCTTAAAATAATATAGTCCGGACCAGCGTTTGCTAATGACGATAAAATGGATTGATTTCAGATTTTTACAAGCACGCAGCGACCTAATTTTGCCAAATTTCCTATTTGTTCCATGCGACGTCACGGTCTTTCACTACACATCTTTTGAATTTCCTTGTGTTTTCTCTAGAGCGTTCCCGACAGACAGAAAGACAGACATACAGAATAGCAAAACCGTTATTATGGATGTATTAAGAAAGTCTGCTTGGCAACATATAATATAACTTTTTTTCTGTATTTGTAATATTGTGTTTGTTATCAAGTAAGTACAGTTTCCTTTCAAACCTGACGATCTATACTCTGTAGGGCAAGTGAAGTAGAGTTCACCTGTTTCTGTGACCTGGACATATGAAGAGTTAGTGTGGACAGCACTATGCCCAGCCGCCTTTACTTTCCCTAACGTGAGTTAGGTACCCATCAGAGTTTGGTTGACTCAGGGACGGTCTACTGACTTGAACCCTGATTCGAACGGGTTAGCAGTCCAGCTCTCTACCGCTAGACCACTCCGTCCCTTTGTTATCAAAATATCAAATTAAAATTAAGAATGTTTACTTGGGATTAAATAATAATGTATAACATTACACTTTTTTTCGGCAAGTGGCTTTCGAGTAATGGTCCCATCTGCCCAAATTTCCGTTCGGGCGTTTTTCTAATTCCTGCAACAGTACATGTGGGAAAATGGTCTTCCGGCAAACGTTCGGCTCCTGTTGTTTGCGTCCCCCCCCCCCCCCCCACGAAGTATATTTCACCTGGATACTTCTTCCAAATGTCCAATAAAGACCAGATTAAGAATCCCCGAAGGTTGTCTCATCATGACTTAGTTAGAGTTACCATGTCTTCGAGTGAAACAGACTTCACATAAGTGCTAAAGGTCTAGATTAGTCCAGTATCGCCACTGTAAAATCGTGTACTGATGCAAAAACATGTTTTAGTGCAAACTCCACTACATAGGGCCACCTTAGCAGTGGTCATTTTGCATACATGTGCAGCCTAATAGTATAAACTTGAAAATGTGTACTTACTCAGTTCAACTAGTTATAGCGCTACGGTTATGGTGTCGTACACACCATCAAAAGTGGTAATTGCAAGTTTGGGAACTTAGAGCACAGTTGACACACTGGTGTAACTTTACTGATTAATTAACCTAATTAATTAACTGGCATGTTTGAAAAAAAGGGATTCCCAGTCAAACTTTTCATTATGAAAACAGCTCCTTTTTGGATTTCAACAATGGTAGTACCATTTCTATGTTGAGGGACAATTCCCTCGTTCTAGCATTAAATCTACTTAACATGTTCGTTTTAGATTTTATTTTCTTGGTTTCTAATTGTAATTAGGTCAACATGTTATGTGCTATATGGCCCGTTGACTCCGATTTCAGCTTGCTTTTCTTTCTGGATTTGCTTCCATAGTAGTTGTCTATCCAAGAACAAACTACAAGGCAGCAGTTTTTTTTTTAATTTAGGAGTTTTCTGTCCCCAGCTATCGAGCCTTATAATTCCTGTGGGTTCGAACGCGGGACTTCAACGACTTCGTTTATTGGTTATCTAGAAGTTTACCAGCCCTTGTGATCATTAGTGGGACACTAAATGTAGTAAAGAAGAAATGATGAATGAACATTTTTTTTCAAGATTAGCAATCAAAGAAATTAGACTGAGATAATTTGGTCCTTAATTTCGACGTCCCTGCGTCCACCCAGCTCTGATGCGTACCTGACTTTCGTTTAGGGAAACATAGGCTGCAGGGCATAGTTCTGATCACATGTATCCCCTTGTATGCTGAGATCATTAAAGCAGATTAACTCTACTTCATCTGCGCCATGTGGATTAGATTATAGTGGCGTAGGCAGGGGGGTGATAAACCCCCCCCCCATAGACCCCTCGGTATATATATATAAAGTATGGAGGGGGTGCAAATCGAAAGTTTGAGGGGGGGGTGCAAATCAAAAGTATGAGGGGGGGGGGGTGCAAATCGAAAGCTTGTCCCTGGGTGAAAATTGGAACCCCCCCCCCCCCCCCTCTTGAGACGATCCTGGCTACGCCATTGATTAGATACGTACGGGAAAAGGACGAATTTTGACGTCAAATGCTGTCAAAAGATTAAATTGAAATACATCATTAAAAAGACAACAAAAGAAGTGTGCATAGAAGAGTTTTATTGTAGCAGAAAAGAGAGCATTATTTTTTTTAAATGATTCAAAGAGATAGCTAGAATGAAGTGTTGCACCAATAAAAGCCACTAAGAACAATATTGAATATATTAAAAGCTTTAATGAGCTAATACAATTTTTAAAAACATTATATAATAAATCTATGATATTGATATGGAATAAAAAATTTTTTTTTCAAAAGTAAAAATAATCACAGATTAATATTATAAATCAGCTGAAAGTATCAACAGGTATATTTGACAGTAAAAAAAAAACACACATTGATTTTACAATAACTACACTTAATGAGCTTCAATTTTTCAAAATGTAGAAACATTTTCTGGTCATATTGTCACAGTTACCACACTTATGGGAAGTTTTTGCCCTTTAGTTCATGAATTTTTTGCTTTGTTTAAAGTTTGAAACTTTAATGTTTAAAATAAATGCCATGATATATTGGACATCATTTTCTGACTGCAAAAAAAAACAAAAAACAAAAAAAAAAAAACAACCAAAAAAACAAACATGGTAAATGCAAGTTCCATTGTTTGGATTTGCATTACTTTAGAATTATATCTGTCTTAATGATGTTTTACAAATTGAGTTAAATAGACCATAAACTAATAATTTTTTAGCAAAACAAAATAGAGTATGTGTTGTGATAAATATTTCTTAAACGACCATGTTAATTTTAAAAATCTATTTAAAAAAAACAATGTTGAATTAATTATAACAATTAAAAGAACATCACAAACTACATTTTAATCAAATCAGTATTAACTTCAATTAACAGAAATCTTCAAAAGTCATTTGGATTATTTTATAATTACAACTGTAAATAGTTTAATTACATATAATTGCAGCACCATTAAATCTTTTCTAAACAAAAATGTTGAAAAGTAATTTAAAATGACTAATATTTCTAATGCTTAGATCTCTATATAAACATCTGATTTTTTTAAGAGGACGGGTCAGCAATCTGGCCCAAAAACAAAAGATTCCCATTGGCTCGATTATCCCTGATGACAAACAAAAACGGGTGGTCAACAGTGACCTCATGAGGTGGCATGGGCATGCTCCTCATCATCATGACAGCAGCAGTTGCAGCAGCCGCCTCCGTCCCTTCCTCATTGACCTTAACAAAAGCTTTGTGGACAACCGCAGATAGAAACAGGTCATTCAACCCTGATATGCCACTGAAATTGGCTTTTGAATCATCAAAAGCATAAGCCATGCCAAGTTTAGACAAGGGATCGTTAAGCTTGAAGCTGCTGGTTACCTGGTTAAAAGAAAAATGGTAAGCTGTTAATCTACCATGAAAACAGACTGCAAAACTCTACAGTGATTGTCAGTGGATTTTATCAATATGTAAACATTCATTAAGTTATAAAATAAACTAAATTTTTAAAAATATTATTCATAACGCAGTATTTGTCAAAAGTGATGGATTTCTCTGATCTTATTTGCAACATAAGCATCAAACTTTTTTTATACAGGGATAGAATTTCACAATAGCTACTTAAACAATTAAAAAATGTGCATTAACTGTTTATTTATATATACAAGCGTGTTAGGATACAATGTTTATTTCAACACTTTAAAACCTTGTTCTGCACTAATACCCTACAACTAAAAAAGGGAAGTAACTATAGTTTGATACATTTTATTTTTTTTACTTGTAAAAATTAAAGTTGGCAGTAAACAGATAAACCTAAGCAATACAATATTTGGTCAATCAATGGTTGGAGTACCTGGCTAATGGAAATGGTTGTAAAAAGTTGGTCTTTAATGTGTTACATTCATAGAAAAAACACAAGTTTTACATTATCACTGCTCTAAAACATTTTGCAACACATTTAAAATAAATCTGTCAGTATAAAAAATATTCTGACTAATCAATTTCTGCAATGAAGAGCTTAAAACTGTCTTGATCAAACTAAACAACAGCTTCACAGGAAATGTGGCGACAAAGTTGACAATAAAAAGTTTACACAGTCGCTATGGCAACTTCATTAACAAATGTCTAAAACCAATCATATCATAAGGAAAAAAATATATAACATGATGCAATAATTTGAAGCAAGATATAGTTTATAATGTAAAATTATGGATTGGGATCCGGATCAGAAACTTGGCCCAAAAATAAAATATTTCCATTGGCCCGATGATCCTTGATGACAAATAAAAATGGGTGGTTGACATTGACCACATGAGGTGGCATGGGCATGCAAAGACGCTTCACCATAACAACTGCTGTAGCAGCAGCCGCCTCCGTCCCTTCCTCGTTGACCTTAACAAAAGCCTTGTGGACAACAGAAGATATAACCAGGTCATTCACCCCTGATATGCCACTGAAATTGGCTTTTGAATCATCAAAAGCATGAGCCATGCCAAGTTTAGACAAGGGATCTTTTAGCTGGAAGCTGCTGGTTACCTGGTTAATAAAAAAGTGTGAATAGTGTTTAAATTAATTAAAATTTATTTTAAAATGTGTACACAAGTGTTGCAAGGACTTAACTACATAAACAGAATGCAGGTGCTTCTCAAACCTGCAAGAAGTCAATTAATGAATTGATGCAAGGTACACTGATCATAAAATAAATTCTGATTACCTAGATTACAAATATTATTGTTTCAAAAATTACAAATGGCTTGAACAAGGGATTCAGCATGTGCATACTCAACACTTAACTGCTAAGTTAACATATCTGTGAAATTATGTAGATTAAAATAATTCCAAGAGAGATAAAAATTGACCATTTGATATTTCATCACCTGGTTTTTATTAATTACTTAAAAGAAAAATTTTGTTATAAGTATAAATTTTCTGAAATATTAAAAAAATGTATTGATTAAAAATGGATGTTTGTTAAAATTACCCATATGTTTATTTTTTTACATTTTATATGAAACAATTACCCTGAACAGTCCATGCTTACATTTGTTCTAAAATTTAAAAAATTCAAAACAACAAAAGAAAGACAAAAATAAGAAAATTGCATTTTTTAGGATACAATGCAAGAAAAAGAGTATAATTGCAAAAAGGTACAAACTTTCTGTTTCTCAAAAAAAAATTCTTACATCACAGAATATTTTTACAATCATAGCTTTTAGCCAAAAACATAAAATATGTTTCAAAGACTTAGCCAAAAACATAAATATGTTTGTAAGTCTAACAAAAAGAGTCCAATGAAAATTATTTAGACTTCAGTGGTTAAAGTTGTAAAAATGGTATCACTTAGAAAACATGGGTTCTAATCTATGTGCTGCACAATCTTAATCCTCGGACGAAAACGAGAATTTTTTTTTTAAACAATGCAATGATTGAACAAAACCTAATTAAAATCAAATCAAGAGTAATATTTTTTAAACTGCAACAAAGTTAAGATGAAACGTTTTACTTGAGATCAGGATCTGAAACTTGGCCCAAAAACAAAATATTTCCATTGGCCCGATGATCCCTGATGACAAATAAAAATGGGTGGTTGACATTGACCGCATGAGGTGGCATGGGCTTGCAAAGACGCTTCACCATAACAACTGCAGTAGCAGCAGCCGCCTCCGTCCCTTCCTCGTTGACCTTAACAAAAGCCTTGTGGACAACGGCAGATATAACCAGGTCATTCACCCCTGATATGCCACTGAAATTGGCTTTTGAAGCATCAAAAGCATGAGCCATGCCAAGTTTAGACAAGGGATCTTTTAGCAGGAAGCTACTGGTTACCTGGTTAATAAATAAGTGTGAATGGTGTTTTAATTAATTAAAAATTATTTTTAAATGTGTACACAGGTGCTGCAAGGACTTAACTACATAAACAGAATGCAGATGCTTCTCAAACCTGCAAGAAGTCAATTAATAAATTGATGCAAGGTACACTGATCATAAAATAAATTCTGATTACCTAGACTACAAATATTATTGTTTCAAAAATTACAAATGGCTTGAACAAGTGATTCAGCGTGTGCATTGTCAACACTTAACAGCTAAGTTAGCATATCTGAGAAATTATGTAGATTAAAATAATTCCAAGAGAGAGAAAAATTGACCATTTGATATTTCATCACCTGGTTTTTATTAATTACTTAAAAGAAAAATTTTGATATAAGTATAAATTTTCGGAAATATTAAAAATATGTATTGGTTAAAAATGGATGATTGTTAAAATTACCCATATGTTTATTTTTTTTTACATTTTATATTAAACAATTACCCTGAACAGTCCAGGCTTACATTTGTTCTAAACTTTTAAAAATTTAAAACAACAAAAGAAAGACAAAAATAACAAAATTGCATTTTTAAAGATACAATGCAAGAAAAAGAGTATAATTGCAAAAAGGTACAAACTTTCTGTTTCTCAAAATTTTTTTTACATCACAGAATATTTTTACAATCATAGCTTTTAGCCAAAAACATAAAATATGTTTGAAAGACCATCAAAAGAGTCCAATGAGAATTATTTAGACTTCAGTGGTTTAAGTTGTAAAAATGGTATCACTAAGAAAACATGGATTCTAATCTATGTGCTGCACAATCTTAATCCTCGGACGAAAACGAGAATTTTTTTTTAAACAATGCAATGTTTGAACAAAACCTATTTAAAATCAAATCAAGATTAATATTTTAAAAACTTCAATGAAGTTAAGATGAAACGTTTTACTTGAGATCAGGATCAGAAACTTGGCCCAAAAACAAAATATTTCCATTGGCCCGATGATCCCTGATGACAAATAAAAATGGGTGGTTGACATTGACCACATGAGGTGGCATGGACATGCCACACTGCAATATGACAACTGCAGTAGCAGCAGCCGCCTCCGTCCCTTCCTCGTTGACCTTAACAAAAGCCTTGTGGACAACGGCAGATATAACCAGGTCATTCACCCCTGATATGCCACTGAAATTGGCTTTTGAATCATCAAAAGCATGAGCCATGCCAAGTTTAGACAAGGGATCTTTTAGCTGGAAGCTGCTGGTTACCTGGTTAATAAAAAAGTGGGAATGAAATTTTATAAAGTAAAATTTATTTTTAACTTTGTACATAGGTGTTGCAACGATATGAGAACTACACAAAGTGGATGCATTTGTTTCTACAACCAGCAAGAAATCCCAGAGATTGGCAGGGGTGTCTTATTATATATCTAAACAGAAACAAATAAAGTGACCTTAAAATAAATTGTAATTTTCTAGACTACTAATACAATTCTAAAAATTAGGAATGGCTTAAGCATATGACTCCACATGTTCTAAGTCTACACTTAACAGACCTAATAAATTCTGTCCATTAAAAGAACTGTGAGAAAGCTAAAATTTGACCATTTTATGTTCCATAAACAGAACTGGTTCAGTTAATTTATTAAATTTATTATTTTGGTATCAGTACCAATTGTCTTAATTATATTTAAAAAATTCATTTATTAAGAATGGATGTTATTTTTTTTTTTACATTGATGTAAAGTTAAAATTACCCTGAACAACCCTGGCGTACAATGCAAAACATTTAAAAAAGACAAAATAACAAAATTGCAATTTTTAAAGTACGCTGCATAATGTAAAGATTATAATTGCAAATAGGTACACTTATATTCCATTTCTTAAAAAAAAAAAAAAGGAAAGAACGGAGTATTAAAAATTAAAGCCAAAAGTATAATATCATGTTTGAAAGACTAGCGAAAAAAGTGACCATTTTTCTGCTCAAAGTGTTACAACTGTGAAATTGTTATTACTAAGAAAACATGGGTTCTAATCTATGTGAGAAACTTTTTTATGAGAAAACTGTGACAAACATAAAGACTGAACACAATAAAACAATTTCAAGAGATAAATTTAAAAAGTTGCAATGAAGTTAAGATTTAACTTATTGCTTGAGATCAGGATCAGAAACTTGGCCCAAAAATAAAATATTTCCATTGGCCCGATGATCTCGAATAACAAATAAAAATGGGTGGTCAACAGTGACCACAGGAAGTTTCATGGATATGCTACTCGAACACAGCATCACGGTAACTGCAGTAGCAGCAGCCGCCTCTGTCCCTTCCTCGTTGACCTTAACAAAGGCCTTGTGAACAACGGCAGATACGGCCAGGTTGTTCACCCCTGATATGCCACTGAAATTGGCTTTTGAAGCATCAAAAGCATGAGCCATGCCAAGTTTAGACAAGGGATCTTTTAGCTGGAAGCTGCTGGTCACCTGGTTAAAAAAAATTGTACTTGGTCAATTATTATGGGGAACCTCTAATGACATATCGGTATTTAAAAAACTGAAAATTTGAAAGTGTAGGCATTACAAGAAAGTCTTTAAGATTTTTTTTTGTTATTACTAGCTACATAGTGTGTTTTGTTAAATGAGTAGAATTAAAAATTTGAATACATTGCAATAATGTTAATAGTTTATCAAAAATAAAATTGTTTTAGAGCTAAAGTGCAGATGTTTTAGAATGATACATCCAATACATAAACAAGCAAATTTTAACAAAAAATTGATTAAAAAAAAGAGGAGCAGCAAATTTATTTAAAGCTGATATTTAGTACCCTGATCACAATGAAAGCACAATGTATTATTCTACACTGCTAAACAAAAGTGCAATTAAAAATTTGAAAGCAATTGTGATTGAAATAAAAGTTTAAATTAAATATATTAAGAATTTAACAAAAGCAAAAAAAACAAACTATACGAGATGAAAATAAATATTAAAATAATGTAATTGAAATATATCTGGAACATTTCAACAGGAATTAAAAAATTTGAAATGAAATTACTCAAATTGATTTCCTTTTTAATAATAGTGATTAAAGAGACGTGACGGATCCCAAAAATAATATGTTGTTCAAATTTTTATTGTCCAGTATAAGAAACAAGAATGGGTGATCCACAATGAACTGAAGAGTTGGGGATGCCTGACGTCTCATCCTGCTAGAGACTAGAGCTGTAGCTGCCGCTGCCTCTGTTCCCTCTTCTGTGACCTTAATGAAAGCCTTATGGACCACTTGGTCAAGGTACAGTCCAGCCCAGTCACTGGCTACTCCGCTAAAATTTGCTGCCTGCTGGCTGAAGGCAGCCCCCATTCCCAGCTTTGATAACACAGACTTGAGGCAGAAAGTGGAAGTCATCTGTTGACATGGCAACTGGACTTTGTACATTGTAAATGTTTTATTATGTCACACTTTTAAAGAGCAGTGTTATGATTTATTTTAAGTTGATGATGAGAAATACATTTTTGGGTACTTTGGAATGCTGATTTCTACATAATAGTTATTATTTGTTAGTGAAAGCTGTGGACTTGTTTTTCATGGGAATTATTTTCAGGATTAAAAAAATACATTTTTAATTTTGTTCAAAATAATATTAACTTGTTTAATTTACATTACATGAAGCTTTTCTCATAACAATATTTTAAACAAGAACTAACACCAAAACCATATAACTAGTATACATCACAAACACATTAAGTTAATGTATGCCCAAACCATATTACTAGTATACAACACAAATAAATTAAAATAAAAAGTGCCCTTATCTAATCCTTAAACTAAATCTTTAAATATAATTAAATTGCACATTTAAAAAAAAATGGACATCTGATTAATTTAAAAACAATGTTATTTGATTAGAATATATTAACTTTTATGAAAATAACTACAGCATATCCTATCCTGACTTTAGAAAAAGATTAGCTGAAAGAAATATTCAATAATGATATCCAAAATCTTAGATTTGAATCAGAGTCAAAGTTAATTAAGAAAAATAGTATTGGGGTTGTCTCTAAAAGATGTCACACTCGATTCCAATTAATGTGATGATGTTTGATGAGGGGGAGGGCTGTTCAGAAAGCGTGTCTCACACATTTTGCATTTTTAGAGAAATGTTTGAAACTGAATTTTAGCAGTTATTTTGCACTTCAAATATTGTAAATTGAAATAAAGAAAAGATTCACATATTCATATATATTGATTATAAAGAAACGAGCGTGCCCGTTCCTATGCATTGACGCAGGGTTAAAAGAAAGTCCCAGAATAGCCCGGGGAAAATTGCACCCAGCTGGGCGTGGTCGGACATGCCTCACTCAGTTCAGTGAACGACTATAATACTACTTCTTATCCATATTCTATTACACTCTTCAAAACAGACTTATGCACCATAGCACTACCCGGATAGCCTGGGGCACCAAATTGCACCCTGTAGAGCGCCAGATTCAACTTAGTAAAAACTAAACGGCCCATCTTATCCATAGTCTATTGCACTGCTTCAAACGAACGTAGAAGCTAAAGTGCTCACGGGATAACCAGGGACGCCAAATTGCACCCTGTCGGCGCCCCCCCCCCCCTGCAAAATTGAATTTTTTTCCTGCAGAAACCTCATTAGGAGTATTCTCAACAACTTCCCAAAGTTTTATGGCAATCTGATGAAAGGTGTAGAAATGCATAAAAACCAGACACACAGATATTGTTTTTTATATATAAAGATTGCTGTTTAAGCAACAAATTGATATTTTAGGTGAATGGAGATGTGACATCTTTTTATGGGGGACGGATGTTTAACCTTATGATGTTACATTTTGAATAAAAACTTAAGATACTCAATAACTGTATTTACTTACTGGAAAATTTAAAAATAAATACAAAATTAATTATGTTCAAAACGTAAAAAAAAAGAACTTAAAAATAATATATAGTGCTTTTAAATAAAAGGTGAAAAATATAATTAATAGTAAGTTGTTGCATACTCTAGACATTTTTAATGACATTAAGCAAAGCTTTTGGTGAAATATTTAGCAAATATTGGCATGCCAGTAGACAAATTATTTGTTTTGCAAAATAGTTTAGTAATAGCAAAATTCATTACACATAAATTTGCTGTGATGTCAGAATAAGTATAATATTTTGAAAATTCTTAGTATAAACAATAACGTTTTTTCAAACTATATTGGATTTAATATATTTTGTATGCTATTGGTGTTAGAATAAAATAAATGTACACAAATTTAACTATTCAATTTAATGTTGGTAAGAGAATAAAAGGCTTTAGAAAACAATTTCGTAAATACAGTTATGCATTATATTTTGACTAAACCCGTTCAGAAAAACAATTTGAGATTATGCGCTTAAATAAGCAGGTCCTTGTAAATCAGGTGGAAGTTTAAAAACCCAGATTTGCTTCCATGTCTCCTTGCAATACTTTATATCCTTCTCAGAGAAATCCAATGTAACCAAATTGGACACTCTTGGGTGTTCAATAGTGAACATGTCTAGTGCTAAGGTTTTTGTAGAAAACATGGTTGGTGCTATTTTAAATGACATGTTTGCAACAATGTGGTTTACTGATAAACAAATTCTTAGATATTATACTAATTACTTACCTCAAATTTAGGGAATGAGAAATTGACTTTCCCTCTTGGTCCTCTGACTTGGCTAAGAAGGTCGTCCAGTTTCTCAGATGTCAAACTATTCACTAGTGTCTAGAATAAAAATAAAAAAAATAAATGTCCATGTAGAGGTTAAAGTGTAACTTCTCAGGAATATAGACTCTGGTTACAGAAAAGCCTAATCAGAGGAGTTTTGAATATTGGACTTGTTTGATGTAGGACAGGGGTCGGCAACCTGCGGCTCGCGAGCTGCATGCGGCTCTTTTGTTGTCAAGATGCTGCTCTCCAGCTCCTTGCACAAATATTAATAGTTATATTATTTTATTTTTAAAACTCATAAAAAATTATACTGTAAAGAAACACAAGTTTAAACAGAAGAAAAATCTCATCAGAGAACAGTGTGAATATGTGCACTAGAAAGTATACGGACAGCTGACAGCTGCCTGGGCACCAGGCCCAGCCCCACAGCCGTGCTGTAGACAGCCACGTAGCGACTATTCCATGCTTGCCACTGCCCGACTTTTTCGAATATTGTTAATCGGGGAATGCTATTTTATTCTCCCTATCCGTCAGTAATCATTAATTTGACGTGAGCGATGTAGTTTATTAGTTGTAAGCGGGTACTGGACGGTGGGGTACGAGTTAACCCTGCGTTCAGTGGGGTGGAAGATAAGCCTGGTGAGAACCAAGTGTATGATTTTAAATGAATAAATATTATTTGTTATTTAAAGCTATGTGTTATAAATAACAAATCAAATATATTATTTATTAACCTAATTTTAATCAAATAATAAAATATTGAAATCAAAAATTTTTTTAGTGGCTCTTTAAAATTTAATAAAATTGTAACTTTAGGCTCTTCCGTCTCAAAAGGTTGCAGACCCCTGATGTAGGAGTATGTCTCACTTTTTGTGATAACGTGAAATGTTAAGGGTGTGGATAAAATTCTTCATTGATTGGCAACCTTTATACTATGGTCTCTACATAACATTTACATAACTAATTAAAGCTTCTCCTCTCATAATTGATTTAAAAAAAAAATTATCAGTGTATACATCTAAACAAGGCTGGTGATTTATAACTGTACACACAATGGTTCTAAATAAAATATTGCATATTTTATTTTGGAACATTTGTCAATAAAACATGGATTTCTTACTTTTTCCTGAATGTGTGAAAGCATCTAGATCTAGTTTTATAAGATTTAAATAGACCTTAATGTTAAATATTTTTTTATAATGTACAAATGGAATGATTGGCTAAAAGTTTTTAATTTAGTATCTGGTCAAACTTTAACATACTACAATTTAAATTTAATTTCAAGTCAATCAAAACAATAGGAAACTATTTGATTGTTGCAACTTTTACCTGAAGGCCAAAATCTTCATCAGGAAGAATAATAACCATTCCTAGTTCTCTCCCTTTGTATGGAATCTCAAGAGCAGTGCACTTAAGTTCCTCATCTACAATGTAGGGGAAGTTATGAGTCATTGTCATCATGGGCACATCTTTGGTCTGTCCTGGGGCTACTTTAAATGGCTTGGGTTTGGTGTTCTCTACTTCAAACTGCTTGTCCCAGTTGCCTATATTAGATAACAAAAATAGAAACTTTTTTCATTTAAAAATGTATTAGCAAACACAAAAATAATAAACAAACACTGAAGGAAAACTGTGAAGAAGAGCTAGTGATAAAAGTTTTATTGCTTTAAAGGGATACTGTTCTAGTTCACTCTGTTCTAACAATCAGACATTAGTTAGGGAATATTAACATTTGGATATAGCACTAGACATATAACATTGAAAATGTCAAACAGTGGGAACTATTTACCAAAAACTTAATAATGCAATGCAATACATGCATTTTAAACATTATAGGCCCAGCCGAATCTGCTTTCCCTAACGTGAGTCAGGTACCCATCAGAAACAGGTGGACTCTAATATATCCTACGGTCTAGAGCCTGGTTCTAAATTCGAGGCATATGGGTTTTCAGTTGTGCACTATACCATCCGAACAAGCAGTCCCATACACAACAACAAACAAGGTTATCGTAATTTTTGAAAGATATTCACAAATCAATGTACCTTTAAAGTAAATAGCATTAACAAGCACCATGCGAGTGAGTGCATCAAGAACACCAGGGGCCAGCAAGTCATTGATTTTATTTTTTGTTTGTTCTGAGACCCAGCTGTTGATCTGAAGTCTTTCATTGTCAGCATCACTCACAAAATTTGAACTCACTGCCTCTGTGGGATTAACACAAAAATTGGTTAAGTAGATTCTAAAAATATGCATCAAACTAAAAGCTTAAGACCTTTAGTAAAAACAACACACCTGCGAGGTAACACTTCTTTGTTTTGTTTTTGAACTCGTCTAAAACTGCATAGCTTTTTTCTATGTAGATTCTATTGGCAGTTGACAGCTGGTATTGATCGTTTGGTGTCTGTAGCTGTGTGACGTAAGCCTGAAACTGCTCATGGAGTTTAGCCTCGTCATCTGTCTCCCAGCGCAAGGCTTTAGCCATTCCTTGAGCTGTTTCCTCGCGAGCTCCTAAATGGGTCATGGCCAGAGCAACAGAAATGCTAAAAGGTGAAACAAACGTGTTTTGGTTCTGGTTTCCGTCGTAGAGAATCTTGAAGAGGTCCAAAGCAAATTTGTTGTTGGCAGCTGAAACTAGTTGAACATCCATTTTGGCTAAACGCTTTCTATCACACTCTGTCAATAAAAAGAGAAACCAGCTAAAGAAATACACAACCCTCTCCTTTATGAGCATGTAGTTAACTAAGATAACAGCCCAGAACACTAGGCAAATCACATGTCACTGCTTCATTATTTATAAACTCAATAAACGTCTAGGGGAAGTAACCAGATGGTTACTTTCTATTGTTTATTGATCACTAAAGTTGCCATCTAGGATAAAATATTGACGATATCAGCAAGTTTACAATCCCACTTAAAAGGAAACAATCTTGGTATATTAATGGTTCCAATGTTAACTTTATAATATATACATATACATACATAACACGTTTTTGTTAGTAATCTCTTAATAGATGAGAATCATCAAGAAAAATTTACTTTTTAATTACAAAAAATGAGTAGAACCAAATTAACAAATGACAATAAATTGCAATGTAGGTCTTTATAGACTGATCAAAGAATATCATGTCAGTAAACAGAATACTGAGCACTATACTGTAAAGAAAAATTATTTTTAGCCTGGAGATAGTTTACTATTTATAGCCACCTCTATGCCAAATGTAATTTTTCACCCATTTTAAGCTTAAAAAGGATAAAAGAAATATTTGATTCAACAAAGTACATTTATCTCTTTTGCATTATCAGATTCACTGCCCTGTTCTGATAATAGCAGAAATGATTCTGTTTAACAGCTTTACACTTAAACAAGTTTTGGTTTGTTTGAACAAGAAGTGAGGGGGAGGGGGAATTCAGCAACTGATAAGAAAGGGTTAACATTGAATGAATGTTAATTATCATTTCATTTAGCAGGCCCATAATCTAGGTACAAATACATAAAACTGAATTATAAATGGCCAATGAAAGAGAAATTTAATGATAAATAACAGTGATGAAATTGACAGACATTAAGCAAGGAATATGATAGAAAAAAACTTTTTGTTTTATATGCTAGACAGTCTAAAGAGAATGAGTAACCATTGTTTCATCTGCACTACAAATAATTTTCAATGCAGATGTTACCACCACACAAAAAACCAACAAATTATATGCTAATACCACATATGGTTTTTGAATGGCTTCTGACTCAACCTATACCATTGAAAAAATATGTAGAGAGCAGTAAATGAATAATTTTTAATAGTCAGAATACATAATGTGTAATAGATAATGTGAATGTTCTCATACATATAATGAGGATGTAGTTTTACTTTCTGGCATGTTTGGGTATACACTATTCAATAAACCAGTACATATACATAGTCAATTAATTGTGGATGTTTATTTCATCAAATTTTAGTGAACATAGAATGGTAAATCACCAGAATATAAAATTAGTGCTGGTACAAGGACAAAAATGTCAAAAATAGTGACAAAAATTAAACAAAATATTAGCTTCTACAGGTAAGAGTGTATGTAGGATGGCTTATTTTTCGAAAATTTAAAATTGAGGAAATGAATTATTGAGTTAGTTACTTGAAGAAGGTTAGCAAAAAACAAAATTGCATTGAGCATATAACCAAGAGTTGCACAAATGGTTAGTCCTTGGGCAATTATTCCTTGGAACTAATTATCTAGATGAGATTTGTATAACTTTAGCCTTGATCTTAAAATCAAATTTACATTCTTAAATCTGATATAGTTTCGAACATTATTTTTTTTATTGTATACCTTAAGGGTCATTCATTTATGATGTCCACAAGAAGGGGTGTCCTAAAAGTTTATTTTTAATGACAAATGTGGATACATATTCAATGCCTTTAAATTGAACACCAAACTACTTATCAAGTCTAAAATTATATTACTTGTGGATGCCATAAATGGAAGATCCCCTAAGTATAATGCACTTGTATTGTTGACAAACCTCATGCATTTCTTTTTTGAACCCCCTTTAAGGCTTAACAGTTGCTTTTGATAATTTTATTTTTAAAATGTTTTTTGAAATATTAAGTGGGGGATGAGGTTCTTAAAAATTTCTACGGAAATGTTATATAAGCATACTATTGCAATAAAAATCAGGATTGACATTATGTAATTTGATGCAAGCATTAATTTATTTGTAAAAAGGGTATTTTCATACAAGTGAAGTTTTTTTTAACTTAACATGTTTTACAGAAAATATATCATGACTGATGCAAGAATGACATCAGCTATGTGTCACATAATCACAAGCTGTATACTATCAGTTTAAACTATTTAGAAGGTTACTACATTTTGACTCATCTCTACTCCACTATACTCCAATTTATACCATTCCATTCTACTCCCTTTTACTCTCTTCAATTTATTTCTACTACATTCTACTTTGTATTTTGTGCTGTGCATGTATGATATATAGGAGTGTGGCCCGCCAAGTGGCATTTAGTGGGCTGAGTGGTAGTATGTGGATTGTTCAGTTAGTGCAAAGAAGTGTAGGTTAAGCTAAGCAAGATAATGGGATGTGGGTTGCAGGATCTGGGTCTTTAAGAAAGAGATACTCAACCACATTCAATACTATTCTAAAGGCCCTATTCTACTATATTTTACTCTTTACTACAATGTTATACCATATACTTCTATGATCTACTTTATTTCACATTTTAAGGTATTCTTCTCCTTTCTACTGTATTCTATTAAACGAGCCGACCCAAGGGCGTAACATTCACCGCTATTGTTTATTTTCCACTTTCAGTAATTCATAATTTGTGAATTCGACACTACCAATGCTGCAACTGAAATAATTTGCTTTAAAACACTATCAGTAGCTCGTGAAGGACAATAAACACCCCCCCCCGTGAAAGCAGGCTCCTCTAAGTTACCTTCCCCTAAGTTTCAAATAGTTTAAAACTAAATTATCTGTCCCTAATAGCCGTCACTAAACCCGGCTCTACGATTGTAAACATTTGGAGTAAACCACAACTCACCAAACTCGTGGGGGCGGGGGTGGTAGCGATATGCCTAGAGAGCGGGGTAGGAACAGCTTAGCCCTTATTGGTAGTGTCTCGTATGATCCCCATATAGAGAATTAAATATATAGATTACTCTATTTTATTTCTACTAAAATCTATTACATTCTTCTTTACCTCTTCCACACTACTTAACTCTCTTCCTCTATACTCTGTTGAACTCTTTGTGTTTTGTGATGTAGTGTGTGGTGTTTGTTGGGTGTGGAAAGGATATGGTGTGAGCTGAGTTCTAAGATGTGGAGGGTGAGTGCAGTAAGGTGAGGTGTTGGTTATGCTGTGTGAGACATTGCAATGTTGGTCATGGTGTGTTTTAAGATGTAGTGTATGGGGTGGGGTGTTTTGGTGTGGATGGGTGTGTGGGGCAGGGTATATGGTGTTGCATTGGTATGTGATTTGGCTTTCAGAACTGACAATTAAAATGTTTCCAAAATAAATAACTTTATGCAATTTTAGTATTTTTAATTTTAATATTTTTTTTACCCGGAATTAAATAATAATAATAATGATATTATCAAGCTCCTTAAATATATATTTAAAAAAAAACACCTGCAATTAAATCATTTAGTTCCTAAGCCAATTTAGGCCTATAATAAAACAATTATGATTTAAATTTGTACTGAAATGAAAAGTGAATTAATTAATCATATGTAACATAACTAGGCCTAATTAATTAGGGTAATCATTTTAGGTACGTAAAATCATCTGAGGCTAGTAATGTACGAAAAAGTTGCCTTATTGTTAAGTAGGCTTAAATAGAAGTGTATTGTAATATATTTGTGTAGGAAATTATGTAGGAAATTACTATATTACATATAACTGAATAATAAACCAAAATCAATAGCTAAATATATCAATATAGGCGAGAAATTAACTTTAAACAACAGTGTTTGCGAGCAGGATTTGCTATATAAAAAGCGGCCATCTGTAAGTTAGAGTGGTTTCCCCTGAATCTCTAACTAATTTTACAACAAAAAAAAAACAACAAGATGGTAACATTAGTAACAACTAACAACAGCACTAGATCTAATCTTTATTTTTTACTGAAAAGTTTTAATACAATTGTTTAAAAACAGGTGTATTACTGAAACTTTGAAACATTTTTGTAACTTCCAAAACATAATAAATCCTCCTATTAGGAAAGGAGTCCTAAAAATGTGAAATAATTACTCAATTAGCCTACTATTACTAAACTTTAATGAGGCACCTTCTTTTCATATTTCTAGAAACTAGATCTAGCCTCGGCCGATTTTACGTACCTGCCCAGCTGTCCTCAACTGTCTGTTAGGCCCCTAAGGTAACAGATTATCCGCCCTAAATTTTAAAATATTATAATATTTAATATAATATATATATATATATAGGGCCGGTAATCTATCGTTTTGGGTACGTAAAATCGCCCGCGGCTATTAATGTATGAAAACGTTACCTCATTGTCAAGGCTGTAATAGAAGTATATTGTGATATGTTTGTGTCAAATATTATAGATAAATGAATAATAAACCTAAATCAATGGCTAAATATATCAATATAGGCCAGAAATTAACTTTAAACAGCAGTGTCTGCAAGCAAGATTTGCTATAGATCCTCTATATATAAACAGCAGCCATTTGTAAAATAGAGTGACTTCCGCCTGAATCTTGCGCTATAAGTCTATAAAAATAAACTTTAACAAGATGGCTGCTATAGTAAATGAGCATGGTTGCATCTGTTGGAAACATCGCAGGTGTTCATTTATTACTGAAAAGTTTTAATTCAATTGTTTAAAAACAGGTACATAAATGAAACATTTTTGTATTTTTCAAAACATAAATCCTCCTCAAAATGTGAAATAATTATTAAAATGTAAGGAGTCACCTGTTTTTCACATTACTAGTCGCGGGCGATTTTACGTACCTAAAACGATAGGGCCTATTTATTATTAAAATAATAATAATTTGATGAATTTCTTACTAATCTTACTTTTGGCTGAGCCGGTGAGCCTTGAGGAGGGGTACACTACAACAACAACACACACAGGTAAGCAGATCTCGATCTAATCTAGATCTAGATTTGGATTAGACTACAGGTTAGTTGAATTTAGAGACAGTAATGTCGGCCTAGTCCAAATACTAAACATTGGTTTGACTAATTTTTATTTTTAGATTATTTATAACTACCGGGATCTTCGTCAGTATGGGTACGTGGGAGTGGCACAACCTACAACACTACTTTAAGACAGTACTTGCAGTAAAAAAAAAGGCATATTTAAATTAGAAGTCTTAATAATAGGCCTAATATTTCTATTTTTACTAGAATCTAGGCTAAATCTAATTATTTTTTAATTTTCCACTCTCCCTATAGAATTATAGAAAATATATACTTTTACCAGTGTCCGCCCCCCCCCCACCAAAGTTTCACCCCCCCCCCACCAAAGTTTTAACCCCCCCCCCCTGGAGATCAAAGTCTGAAAGAAACACTGCTTGAAATGTAAGTCGTCCCCCCACCCCTCCCGAAAATTTCAAGCCGGGGATTCTTTGTACCCTTACAATGACAGCTGTTTTATGTTTATACATTTGGAATTATTTTTAAACAAAAACCTCTTTCAAAAACAAAATCCTGCCTGCGCATATTGCCTTAAACACAATGGATTATTGTCTCAGCTGTGTAAATTAAATACATTGTACGACACGCGAGAAAAGCTGCAGCTGTTAGCAATAGTCGCGATTAGTCACTTTTCAACAGGCTGACGAGTAGTCTACATTATGTAAATATCCTAATGTTTAACTCTGTCTAGGCCTAGTCTATACCAAAGTCGTTCTACACTTTTTTTGTCGAACTTTTGGCATTTGACATTTGTTGGCATGCTGTCAGCTTGAGTATGGTAATAAAGAAGTTAATACAACATTGGACTGTATTTTTAGATAGGGCGGAGAAAAAAAAACACCTGCGGTGGCGTCTGATTTGATTTGCTAAAAGTTTATAGTAGCCCGTCGTATCCTTAGTGAATCGCTCTCATTAAAACGAACGTAAAAAGTAGCCTATTTATTTTTTCTATTTTAATTCTGTTTCATTCGAGGGGCGGAGATGTAGCTGTGCTTAGGACATAGCCCCCCCCCCCTCGAAGAGATGTCTGAAAGGAGCTTTGTCCTAAACAAAAAGACCATAAAGTAGGTAAAAACCTAAAAAAAAACAAAAACAACAAACAACTAAAGCCTACCAAGCCTATATAGTAGGTAGGACTCTCGTATTTGAGAAGGGCAGAGGCGTAGCGACCCTTCCCGGCGCCCGGGGACAAACGTTGGATTTGCAACCCCCTCAAACTTTCAATTTGCATCCCCCCTCAAACTTTTGATTTACACCTCCCCCCTCATACTTTCGATTTGCACCCCCCCCCCCTCAAACTTTCAATTTGTTTTTCCAACCCGTTTTTGCGCCCCCCTAAGGTCGGCGCCCGGGGACATATGTCCCCCCCCCTCGCTACGCCTCTGGGTAAGGGGGAGTTTTCAGTGGACAGGGGGAATGTGGTTTTTTTAAAATTGTGAAGTAGTATTTCTAATGTATTTGTTAAAGGACAGAAATGATGAAAACATCGTAAAACCTTTTAATAGTTCTAATCTCAATTTCTAATAGTCTAATACCAGTGCGTGGTTATTTCGGTGGGTAAGGGATGAATGGATCTTTTTTTTTTTTTAGCTCTTTAGGTGTGTTTCTATCAGTGTTGTTAAGGATAACGATGGAGGAAATCAGCATCACATAGTAAATATGACCCCTTAAAAACGAAATCAAAATTTGAAAACTATAGGCCTATCCTTAATAATATTAATAATTAGATCTAGAATCTAGATCTCAATACTCTTTCTACTTAAAAAAGAAATAATTAGGCAAAATTTTAATTATGAAGTAGAAGTTTTATAATGCGATACAATTATCTTATCCTTGTAGAGCAGTAACGATAACTACAATTAACTTAGCAAAATTTAGTCTAGTCTACTAGAAGATTAGATCTAGATCTAGATCTAGAATTAATTACTAGATCTAGCCTAATTACTAGTAATTAGAGCTTGACTAAATTCTAAATAAACTCCGTGATGTAAAAACAAACTAAAGATGACAAAAACCTAATCTAGATTAGATTGTTAGATCTAATTTAATTCCAACGTGAACGTGGCTGGTCCTACACTCGAGCTCAAAAGAGTCAAAACAAATCTCAGCTCACTGTTGCAGTTTAGGCTTAGATCTAGTTGTTGAGTCAACTAACTTGAGTGAGAGTACTGATTACTAATGAGTAATGATACTACTAGATTCTCTAGATATAACTAGCTAGTACTGACTAGTCTAGTTTCTACATTACTCGCACTAGCATTAGACTTTTGACTCAAACTAAATTAAAATTGAACCTAGTATCTTGAACTATCCGGTAATCTATCGTTTTGGGTACGTAAAATCGCCCGCGACTTGTAATGTGAAAAACAGGTGACTCCTTAAATTTTAATAATTATTTCACATTTTTAGGAGGATTTATGTTTTTTAAAATACAAAAATGTTTCCGTGTTTCATTTACTTACCTGTTTTTAAACAATTGAATTAAAACTTTTCCGTAATAAATGAAGACTAGCGATGTTTCCAACAGATGCAACCATGCTCATTTACTATAGCAGCCATCTTGTTTAAGTTTTATTTTTATAAGCTTATCGGGAGATTCAGGAGGAAGCCACTCTATTTTACAAATGGCTGCTGTTTATATTGCAAATCTTGCTCTCAAACACTGCTGTAAGTTAATTTCTGGCCTATATCGATATATTTAGCCATTGATTTAGATTTATTATTCATTTATTTATAATATTTGACACAAACATATGACAATATAGTTCAAAATACATCTATTAAAGCCTTGACAATGAGGTAATGTTTTCGTACATTAATAGCCGCTGGCGACTTTACGTACCTAAAACGATAGATTACCGAACTATCTTCTACTGTAGTAACTGTAACTTACTAAGTTATCTTCTAATTAAAGTCAGCATGGATAAAAGTTCTTATTTTTATTAATAGCCATTAATGAGTATTGAGTAGTAGTAGCTTCTTATTGACCCAAGCAAAAGCTTTTTGACATATCAATTGTAAGCATTGCTATTACAGCATTAGGTGTGCATCTTAAGTAAAAGACATAGCACCAACACATGTTGAACTTGTGGGCTAACCCATTGTCCATTTATTTTCAGTCATCAGTTAATTTCATTTGTTAATCAACTGCCTTATACAGGGCCTGTTTCTATTTTGTAGAAAATTCCTTTAGTTGTTTTTTTTGTATATATATATATATATATATATATATATATATATATATATATATATATATATATATATATATATATATATATATACATACAAAAAAAAACAACTAAAGGAATTTTCTACAAAATAGAAACAGTTTTGCCAATTTTTCCAAATGTTACACAGTTAACTAATTTTAAATTACTAATATAATATTCATTGAATCAATACAAAAATAATTTTAAAAAATTGCTGAGTAAAACTGTTGCATATCCCCACCGTGATCGGCTAAAATTATTAAAATATTCTGAGTGCTGTTCAAAAGTTAGATCAATTGCCATGCAGGTCTAACATTAGAACTATGGTTGTGTGAGTTAAATTAAGCAACAGGCTTATATCTATTGTACATGTCAAGTAGGCTTAATCACCTGTCCCATTAAGCAAATTTGAGCACAATACATTCACCTACACAACTATACACTACATCAGTAAAACACTAAGTAGGACAGACTGTTGACTACAGACTACAGTATGCTTACATTACAAATACTTATAATTCAATACATATTAAAATACATTTTAACATACAAGATATTTGACTTAATCATCCACATATTCTTTATAGAAGAGTAGAAGGGATTAAAACAGTCTATGCTATAGTTTTAAGAAGACAAAAATATTTCAGTAGTGATTGGATTAAATCACTATTTAACTAATTAATTTCCATGATTGTTTATATTTTTAAGCCTTTTTAAATTTAAATAGTTAATAAGTCTAGTAAGATTTCCAATTAACATGCAGGTCAATCCAAGATATTATTTTGCACTCTTTAAGAAATGACTGGCAAAATTTACGAATAAAATAAAATACAGTTACATTAGATCTTAATTTAGTTTTTTGTATCTTATCTATTATATGACTCATTTTACGCTAGATGGTTCATGCCGATATGCACAACTGATATGCACCTGATTACTCACAGCTGAGGTATTATTAACTACTTGACAATGGAGGGTGGAACATGGGGATTGGTGATCATTTTCTCAGCCTTCATGATTCAGTTTCTGGCCTTTGGTGTCACAGCTGCCATTGGTGTTTACAACATTGAGCTCCTGGATTACTTTGATGGTGCAACAGTCGGAGTGTCTTTAATAGGGTCTTTAAACTATGGAATATTTTTAGGATCAGGTAATTTTTCATTTTGAACTATGGAATATTTTTAGGATCAGGTAATTTTTCATTTTGAACTATGGAATATTTTTAGGATCAGGTAATTTTTCTCTTTGAAATATGGAATATTTTTATAATCATGTAATTTTTCTATAACTACTTGAAAAAAAATACTTTTTGCTGTTTGAAACAAAATATTTTAAGAAGTTTAGAAATGTTTCCCCAGTTAGTTAGTCCTAGCTGGAAGGTGACTACAATAAAATGATAACACAGTGTCAAATTCTTTAGTCATAAAATAAAACTGTCTCTACCTTCAGGACCCATTGTCAGCTTTCTAATGACAAAGTTCAGCTACAGAAAAATTACACTCTTTGGGTCTTTTCTCATTGTCGTTGGCCTGCTGGGGATGCCTCTGTTACCTTACATACCTGCCATGTGCGTAACTTTTGGGGTGCTAACAGGTATGGGCTCTTTTCAATTAAATTGTTCTACTGTATTAACACTGATATGATACATGAATAGTTTTTAAAAGTTTTATTATATCAATTTCTCTTTTAGTTAAAATTTAAAAAAATCCATCTTTTATAGGTTTTGGTTGCTGCTGTGCATATATTCCATCCCACGTGTTAAGTGGGTTATACTATGACAAGTACCGTAGCCTAGCAACAGGTGTTACAACAAGTGGCTCTGGTCTGGGGGGAGCCGTGATGCCAGTGGTGGTTGGCCTGCTGATAGAGCACTACACGTGGAAAACATCCCTGGTGTTTGTGGCTGGCTTGTGCCTGCATCTGTTTGTTTTCTCAAGTCTGCTGCGAGACCCCCCAGCAGACTTGGAGATTGAACTCACGGCTGATACTCATCCACCTGGTGGGGAAGAAGTTGCTGAAGACAAGCTTGTTTCAATTCCACTGGCACCTGTAACAGACACGCCCTGTCAAAGAATGGCAAATGACGATCTCAGTTTTGAATTTGGTCAGGATTTATCCAAGTTAGAGTTTGTTGATAAATTAAGCTGCAGAACCAATATGAGCTCTATTGAAAACATCAACTTGCAGGATACATCTCAAAATCTTGTGTACAATCACTGCCAGCCTAACAGGGACTCTGTTGGTAAGAATGAAATATACTGTGAAAAGGATTCACTGATGCTGATACATAGAAAACCCCAACGTCTACCAGAATATTTATCAAAGCATCATTCTTTATCCTTAAATTCATTACATGTTGTCGGATCAACTAGGTGCTCAAATGTTGTTGTTCTTGAGAAAAGTGTAGATGCCGCACCTACAGCAAATAATAGCTCTGACACTAAACTTTTGCCTAACTCCTCAAGGCATATATTTATCTTCACAAACTGCGCATTTAACATTTACTTCTGCAGTAACATCATGTGGAACGCAGCAGGCTCCATTGTAAATTCATTTGCCCCTGAGTTTCTACGTGAACGAGGATTATCCCCCATGACAGCAGCCTGGCTGAGCGGCGGCTTTGGATTTGGTTGTTTTATTGGTGGAATACTGGGGGGCGTGTTCGGCAACATGCAGTGTGTCAACAGACAAGGGTTGTACACCTTGTCCAACTTAGCCATGGGGCTATTGTTGGTTGTCTTCCCTTTTGTGGACCACATCGTCTGGTACTGTTTGCTGCTTATCCTGACTGGCTTCGCTTTTGGCATCATCCTGGGGCTGTTGATTATAGTTCTGACTGATTTAATTGGCATTGAGAGCCTTGGGAATGGACTCGGCTACCTGATGTTGTCCAATGGTTTAGGGACTTTTATAGGCCCGCCTATTGCAGGTCAGTAGTCTTTGCTTTACAATTAGTATAAGAGATAATTAAAATATAATGTTCTAATTGGACATACCAATGAACAGTTTGAATGATTAAAGCCAACAATTTTTCTTTAGTTTAGGGTTCCAATTGTAGTTTATTACACACATTTATTATTTTAATTAATTCTGACTACAGAGGTGAGCTCAGTGATTAGTTAAAAGTTGACACAAAAAGCAAAACGATTCTGCTTTTATTTTAGTATTTACTATTGCATGTTGCATAACATTAAATGAAGTTTGCATTTATTAACATAAGTATTATATTGGCAAAGCATTTAATAAAATTTGCTTTTATTAATGTTAGTATTTTCTAACAAGTAATGTTACTTTTAATAATGTTGCAATGTTAGTATTACACTAGTAAAATGAATTTAGCTTTTATTAATGTTAGTTGATGTGACTGTTTACTTGCGTAAGTTTTGCTGCCTCTTTCAACATAATTCTACATAAAAGAGAAAATTTACCCATGATTACTGGCCCTACTCTAGCTTAGCCTTTAGTTGTTAAACTCAAACCAATCATGTTTTGCTGATACACCAGTCTAATCTTTTTACTTCAGGTCTTGTCAGAGACTACACTGGAGGATTTGAAGGGGGAATAATTCTGGCAGGATGTCTCTGTATTCTTGGAGGTATCACTATGTTTATAATGCCATTCAGACAGAGATGCTCGCCTAAGTGTATGCTGCCACATAGTCATACCTAGCTACAACACAGCCATACCTAGCTGCAACACAGCCATACCTAGCTGCAACACAGCTATACATACCTGCAACACAGCCATACCTAGCTGCAACACAGCCATACCTAGCTGCAACACAGCCATACCTAGCTACAACATAGTCATACCTAGCTGCAACACAGCCATAACTACCTGCAACACAGCCATAACTACCTGCAACACAGCCATACCTAGCTGCAACACAGCCATAACTACCTGCAACACAGCCATAACTACCTGCAACACAGCCATACCTAGCTGCAACACAGCCATACCTAGCTGCAACACAGCCATACCTAGCTGCAACACAGCCATAACTAGCTGCAACACAGCCATACCTAGCTGCAACACAGCCATACTTACCTGCAACACAGCCATACCTACCTGCAACACAGCCATACCTAGCTGCAATAGCCATACCTAGCTGCAACACAGCCGTACCTAGCTGCAACATAGCCGTACCTAGACACAACATAGCCATACAGTTGCAACACAGCCATACCTAGCTGCCACATAGCCATACCTATCTACAACATAGCCATACCTAGCTACAACACAGTCATACCTAGCTGCATCATTGCTATACCTAGAAACAACATAGCCATACCTAGCTGCAACACAGCCATACCTAGCTGCAACACAGCCAAACCTAGCTGCAACACAGCCAAACCTAGCTGCAACACAGCCATACCTAGCTACAACATAGCCATAACTACCTGCAACACAGCCATAACTACCTGCAACACAGCCATAACTACCTGCAACAGAACCATACCTAGCTGCAACACAGCCATAGCTACCTGCAACACAGCCATAACTACCTGCAACACAGCCATAACTACCTGCAACACAACCATACCTAGCTGCAACACAGTCATACCTTGCTGCAACACAGTCATACCTAGCTGCAACACAGCCATACCTAGCTGCAACACAGCCATACCTAGCTGCCACACAGCCATACCTAGCTGCGACATTGCTGTGATAAGCTGTTGAAGTTGTCATGCTAGTAGCACCTTCACTTGTTCAACACATTTTTACCAGCACTTCTTTACAATATCAGCGTCTTTTAAATATCTTAACTTTTTCTTTAGCACAATTTCAACTTTTTCTACCAATGTATTCTGTTTGTTTGATCACAGTAGCATCAAAAAGTATATTTATATGAATATATTACAGCAGTAGATTGATTTTCTGATGAACTCAGTTTAAAAAAAGACAACAATAATGATTGTTAACTTTTAGTTAAGGTAAAGAAGCACAATTTTAATATCATTGTTTATTAAAACAGGATTATAATAAAAAACCAACCAAAATAAAATATTAGTAGACATCCATTGAACGGCAGTTTGTCCTTTAGCCCATAGAGTCTACTCACGGAAGTCATGTACTACATAATTATGCTGATATTTAGGGCTTGACAAGGCCATGACGTTTTGACCATGCTGAATCTCTGAAATTCTTTATTTGACCAACATGATCCATGGCCATAAAGAATTGACTGTACAATGTTGAATTACTCATATACAAGAAAAGTGATTTTAAAAAAAAATTATTGTTTTTGACTGACAAAATCCATGGCCATGAAGAGTTGACTGTACAATTTTAAGTTGTTTTAATTATTGTGAGACTTACAGGGTGATAGACCTTTTTAATTGTTCAATACTTTTATTGGTAACTTCACTTCCAGTTAGTTTTATCTTGAAATTACATAAGTGAGTTGATATGTAATTAAATTTTTATCAAATCATGTCACAATATATTTTACTGAAGCTTTTTTTTTTCAGTTTAGGAATTTTTGCATTTTACAACTAAGTAATAATAAAATATTGATATTGTAGCTTAAAGAATTTTACGTTTAAGTTCATTTTGTTGAAGCGACACTCATCCACAAATAAATTGTTATTTGAGTGTATCACATATTTTAATTAGATCAAATTTATTCGCTATTTGAAATCTGATTATTTGTTGATAAAGCAGTCACATCTGCTTGACGAATGTGTAGTGTAACAATTTAAACAATTTTAAGCTTTTTCAAGATTTTGAGTTAAGATTCTAATAATTTATTTAATGCAGTATTATACTGAATATCTTAGAATATATTGACATATAATTTATTACCATTATTACACTAAATTACAGCTTACATTTTCTGTCTCAAAACCCAAGAGAGTTCTGCACTGTTTTAATTTATTTCAATTTTATCTTGTCAGTGATGTATATTATGTATTATTGTTGTAGGAGTTTTCAATATCAATTATATATTAACTTGCTTGATATTTTTCTACCCTTGGAGATGTTTTAGTAAAATTACTCATACTGTGATCTGATGTACTTGTATTTTTGAGACAAATCTACTCATACTGTTTTGAAAGATATTTTGCTTTGTGTACTCACACACTATTTGAAATACTGTTCATCATAGTATATTGTAATTTTAAATCATTTTATTGTGCCACTCAAATTATTATTAAAACTCTTTTTATCAACTGTATGGTCAGTAATTTTTTTTATTTTAGATCTGTCATTATTTTTAAAAAAATGTATTGCTTTTTTAAAAAAAAAATTTAGAAGTAAACAATTGATTCTCTTAATTTTGAACTGTCAAAAAATAAGTATACTAGTAAAATTTTATAGCTTTTTCACATTTCATTGATTGAAACAAAATGAAATGACTTAACTTTTTTCACACATCATTGATTGACATAAAATAAATAATACTATTAATAACATTAATTAACTTCTTCCTCTATTAGTCAAGTAATATTAAGGGGATCTTGTAAAGCATAATGTTGATTTTTATTTTACTACAAATTAACATCATAAAGTGTTCTGTTTGTTTTATACACGTCACCAAACTGACTGTTTGTAAATATTGACACAGTATATTGTTTTCATTCAATTATACATTATATTTTTAGCCTAATTTTCATAACATTTATCCAAGTAATACTCTACTTTTATAATTAAAGTATTAAAGTATAATTTAAGATTGTAGTTAAATTACTTTTTGCCAAGCAAAGACACTATTGTTGCTTTCAGGTAGTGTATTGTTTACAAAAGACATTATTTATAACAAAATATGACATGAATTCTTATGTTATATATTTTAATTACTGTGCATTTTGTCTGCTCATTTATGTTAGTGCATTTAAAAAGGACAATTGTTGCTACACATTTTTACTTTGAATTATTGTGATGTAATTTAGTTTAAAATTATTGTTAAGTAACTTGCAAGCCTTTTCAAAATCTGGTGAAAATATTGAATTGTTTTAAACATTGTTTATTAATTTTTTTCTCAGGTATTTCAGTTTAAAAACTACTTTGGTAAATTAAATATTTGTTCCAAAATGAGAATCTCCTTTATAAGAGGGGATAATTTGTTTGCTGATAAAATAAAAAAATGGGTAATTTCCCCTTTACAACAGAATCCTTAGCTCTACAAATGCTTTTTGTTGATATAATTTTGGTAATTCATTGAATTTAGAGAGAGTTTACGGGTATAGGTAAAATATTGTAATTTGAATACATGTCGTCTTAGAAAATTATATGACAAAAAATGAGTTCGATTATTGTAAAGGTTTTAAGTTGTTTTTTATAACAAAGTTTTTATTCTTGTGACTAAGTCAAATGACAGTGATCTTGTAGCCGACTTGTTGATACTTAACTTTTGCAACATCCTGATCATCAGTATTCTTAAAGGATGCCACTGTGTATGTGCATAATGAAATTTGTTTGTGTAATGACAATTATGTTTTTGTTATAACTCGTGATAAACATTTTTTTTAATGATGGTTTGTTAAAGTACATTTATATCTGATTTAAAAAAAAAATTAAAATGTGTTCACATTTATCTAAAGTTGTAACCATTGTTTTTAAGCAATCCAATTTTGTGCAAAATATGATCTGAGTACCAACTCCACAAATCTCATGAACTTATCATGGTAGACTTATAAGGTGGTTGATGAGGTGAACTTTGGCTGAAGTACTGACCTACAGTAGACACACTAGTCAACAGTTGACCCTGGTCCATGGTTGACCTGGGTCCTAACTTGTACCTGGTCTATGGTTGACCTGGGTCCTTTATTGATCTGGGTCCTGACTTGACCCTTGTCCATGGTTGACCTGGGTTCTGACTTGACCTTGTTCCACAGTTGACCTGGGTCCTAATCTGACTCTGGACCACATTTGACCCTGGTCCATGGTTGACCACAGTCGACCCAGTTCAAAGTTATCCCTAGTAACTTACTTTGTGTGTTGATGTTGACTTAAAATAATTTGTTTTAAAAGATAAAATAACATATATAGTAACATTTTATTATTTACATAGTTTTCCTTCTAGTTGAATTGGAGCATCTTCTTCGACGCTGTATTAAATTATATTTACATTACAAAATCAATTAAATTTTTATCCAAATTTGACAGTGAAAGTGAAATAAATTGTTATCGTTTTTGAAACTTTTTTTTGTGTTTTTTAAACCAGAATCTTATGGTATAGAGCAGGGGTCTCCAAACTTTTCAGTCTGAGGGCCGCATTAAATATTATGTTCGGGGGCCAGTTTCTTCCAGGCATGTCGTGATTTTTCTGAGCAAATTTCTCAGCCATCACAAATAAACGTTTTTTCCGTGGACAAAAAGATCGCCGCGGGCCGGATAAGAGGACCTCGCGGGCCGTAGTTTGGAGACCCCTGGTATAGAGTATAGAGATTTAGAATTTTTATATTTGCCATGTTTAACTCTTCCTCTGATCCGAACTTTAAAAAAATTTACAAGACATGACTAATAGTTGTGGATTTCTGGGATCCGTTCCTTCTATTTCCCGCGACTCTGTCGGATATTGCTTAAATCATATGGTTGGACTTAAGGACCTTTAGCCTGTAGAGTCTAGAGTGTAGACACCCTGTGTATTAGCACGCGGGGTGTTCGGTACGAGGCAGACAGGACGCCATTAAAATCTAATGAGTGGTCTACAGATATCTGTGCTACTTGATTAGTGTCCGCTATTGGCAGCTGTCGGCGATACGACATCACAACAACTTGTTGTTTGATACCTCCACCTTGAGGCTTGCTCATACTTTGTCGCGTTACTATGGCACTTATAATTGCTTGTTTGGTTTGATGTGTCCCCGTTGTTTTGTGGATAACAGGGCCACGTACTTGTCGTGTGGATTAGAGAGCAACGTTCAGGTTTTTGTGGATTAGAGGGCGACATCCCAGTAATGTGGATTAGAGGGCGACATCCCAGTAGTGTGGATTAGAGGGTAACATCCCAGTAGTGTGGATTAGAGGGTAACATCTCAGTAGTGTGGATTAGAGGGCAACATCCCAGTAGTGTGGATTAGAGGGTAACATCTCAGTAGTGTGGATTAGAGGGCAACATCCCAGTAGTGTGGATTAGAGGGTAACATCCCAGTAGTGTGGATTAGAGGGTAACATCCCAGTAGTGTGGATTAGAGGGTAACATCTCAGTAGTGTGGATTAGAGGGCAACATCCCAGTAGTGTGGATTAGAGGGTAACATCTCAGTAGTGTGGATTAGAGGGCAACATCCCAGTAGTGTGGATTAGAGGCCAACATCCCAGTAGTGTGGATTAAAGGGCGACATGTTTACTCAACTCCCACCATTAAACCCACTGACATCCCCACTCACATGTTGACCATTTCCCCCCCCCCCCTCTTATTCTTTTCTCAGTTCAACCACTGCCCATTTAACCCCATTTAACCCCACTTGAACTTCCCTTCAACTCGCGTCTCTACCAACCCCATCCCCTGTCAACCCGTCCATTTGTCAACCCTCTTCCCTATCAGTCATTACAAACAGGCCATCCAACCCGACCGACTTGAGAATCAACCCCTTTACAACCACCCCTTAAATAAATGTACCATCAAACTTATCAGTTCATGTCAGCAACCAATTTTACCCGTCATGCACCCACCCCTCTCCAGCCTGCCTGTAAACATCGCAAAAAAAAATTCTCCCCACTCCCCCTTTTTTTTTGCTATCAAAACCATTCTTCTTCCAAGAATTTTGATTTTTCATATACTTTTTTTTTAGGAAATATATTAAAGACGCAACCAACCGCTCCATCTCTAGGTTAGGAAAGATGTTATGACATCACCTGACGTAAAACTTATGACATTAAACGTTAACCTAAACCAATGACCCAATTTATTCCATCTTGTAAACTTGACCTATCTTCCCTATTTTCCCCTAGATCTATATCCGAAATATAAAACACATTTTTAAACAACATTGGAAATTAAAGTTAAGCCACCATAATTTCCTGCGCCTATTTCAGCACCAGACCTCGCTTGAGATAAATGTTCGCCATCAAGGCTTTAGAACGCACAGCTATAACTCAAGGCCAATTTTTATTTCCTTCATCAAACTCTTGTCCCAGTTCCCTAGTTGAATGGGTCATGGGAAAATCCCATCTACAATTCGACGATAAAAAGAAACATAACCACAGCGGCGGTTATGGCCGTCAAATACCGCCGTTTAGGAAACCCAATTTTGTGATCGATATGGATCAGATGTGACCGCAGGAATGATCGCGCTGAGGGGCTGACTGCTCAATTGAGATGTATGTTTGTAAACATGAACTCTGCTGGCGGGAAATCTCATCACGTGCTAGTTTTTTTTTTAGTCGAGGTCACTAGGGCGCCAAAATGCAAGAAATCAAACTCCAGGAAGGAAGATAATTGCATACATTTGCGTTTTATATATATATATATATATATATATATATATATATATATATATATATATATATATATATATATATATATATATATATATATATATATATCATATAACTAATAATACGGCCGCCAAAACTCGTAGTTCGGTCACTGACAATTGACAGACCATTGCGTATTTCCGGCTGAGAGTCTTGTCAAAGTCCGATTAGTATCTGTACAAATTTTTACATATGTTGTTCCTCCCTCAACTTACATTTTCCCCCGTATACAATGCCATATCTAGAGCTGACTAACCGAACCACCCCCCCCCCCCCCCCCCCAAAAAAAAAACCCCAAAAAAAACATCAAACCAACCGGAAGCGATACTGCCCTTATAGCCCAGAAAAGTGTGAGTTCTTTGTTTATCTTTGTCTTTGTATATCATTTCCATTATTTCTTTCAAATTCTAGACTGTACAGATTTAATGGTGCTAAAACAAACGTGTCCATATTGAATGGTGCTAAAACAAACGTGTCCAGATTTAGCGATGTTCCTAAGGATACCACCTAATCTTGTCACGTATGAGCTGGGAATGGTGAACTAGAGCAAGATGAAATAGTTAGGTAAACACTTCAGTACGCATATCTTCCTTCTTAAAGCCTGGTACTTATTATCCTACAAATATCCAATGATTCTCGTGAAGTTTTGTTGTGTATGTCTCTCGTTGGGTCACTCCAATACTGAATCTGTACTTTCCCTGCCAGGTTCATACAACATTCAAAATACTAGCCGAATGGCCCGTGTTTAAACGGGATGACAATCTCTCGAGTCATAAGGGTC